GGGTCAAAGAATAGTTTTACGCTTGTTACAGACATGATATCCGCTCATGGGACGTTAATGTATCGGTGTGTAATCAAAGTGTTCCAGTTAATACTTATTTTGAATAATCACTTTTTAGGAACGTTTCTTTTGTTTTGTTTTGTTTTTGTTTTTTCTATTTGTAATGTGCAACGTTCTCATTTTATATTTTCTGATCTCATCTGGGTACTTTTTGGAACTTTTTTGTTCAAATCATGTGATACACCATTTACGGGTTCTTAATTAATTAATTTCAAAAAATCCAAAAAAATAATAAAACTTTTTTTTCTCGAAAAAGTTCGAATTTTGTTTTGTTGCCAATGATAGGTTGATCTTTGAAATCTTCCGCAATTTCAGATTTTCAGTTTTACAAAATAGAAGTGTTATCTTATTTATTTGAGAATTTCGCAGAAACGACAAGAAATTGTCATTAGGGAGATCAAAATCAGAAATTATGAATTTAAAAGAAACAGAAGATAATAAAAAAGTGAAAGTGAAGAAGTTATATAGTGCTATAAAAAATTCATGAGGACATTCACCTCACACAAAAGGGGAAGTCTCATCCTGATCCCTGATTAGAGATAATATCTGGAAAAAATGTTATGTTTTTGTAGACTAATTTGCTTTTTGCAAATAATTGTAGACAAGCTAAAACGCCCTACACTCCAAAATCGGATGTACCCTTAGAACCATTGTACCCTTGAGACCGATTCGCAGATATGAAGTCATGTGAAAAATTCTTAGCCTGTTTCAAACACTATCACAATCTTTGTTTATCACAAAAAGCAGAAATAATGTAGACTTCTTCAACCGTTTTTTTCTATTCATACTCAACAATACTAAGAAATCCCAGTTTTTTAAAATGAAGATTTTCATTATGAAATAAACAAGTTTCATTATTGTTTTTGTCTGAGACGTTTTGTGACGTGAACATCTCCGATACTTCTTATCAACTGCTCAATAACAAGAATGTCTCGTTTTCAGAAACGATAATTTGTCAGAATGTAAAGGTTTCATGGCTGTTCATGAATGAACAAGGGTTCTAAAAATAGAGGGGTTTTGAAAATCAATGGAGTTGTGGTAACAAACAGGGGTTTCCCATTTTTTTTCAGATGTTTCAGTTCATTTATTCAATAATATTTTATCAGTTTTGGTTTGTTTGAACAAGTGAGGTTTCAGTTTTAACTATTCTTGGCAAAATTTGGAACTTTTTCTGACCATTTTCGCCAATCCTTGAAAATTCATAAATAAAATGACATAGAGACTTGTTCTACTATATTCAAATGCGAATTCCCAAGGAACAATTCATCAAAACGTATTCCAAAATACTATTTATGGATATCTAATCGACTAATGACGTAAATACCCGACGAACAATCAGTACAGACAGCAAAGGGGCAATCTTAATAACAAAAATTCCCTTGGGGACTGTAAGATACCGATAATGTTACCGGTAATGCTCCACCCATTGGGGCTCTATATACGCAATAGATGTCTTGTTTTGTATCAGTTTGAAGATGGATGAAATATCTGTAACTATTCTGGATGAAGTCGTCGATGACGAAGTGATGACCGGTCAAAATCTGTATATGCACTTTTTCCAAAAATGCTGAAAACTTTTGTCTGAAAGTTTCCAATTTCTTAACCACCTCACTTTTCTCCTTCATTTCGCCTCCCGGGAACTTCCGGAAACACTGTTGACATGTACACACTTACGCACTGTTGTTCCCAGCGGTGAGGTGGCCGGGTGGTTGTGGGCGCGTATTATAAGCTGAATGTCTGGGGTTCGATTCCCTCTTTTGAAATTATCTTTTGCTTTTTTTGATCAAATTTCTAGACATCTATTCAGGGCTCGAAACATGTTTTTGGCCAGAGTTTTTGAGTTTTTGCCGATTTTCAAACTTTGAAAAGCAGAAAATAGCAATTTTTTCAAAGTATTTTTTTTCGAAAATTTCCAAGTTTTTGGTGGTCAACTCCATGCTAGATTTTCGATGAAAATTTTTTCGCTCGAAATTTTTCAATTTTCGTATGGAATGTATTTTTGTGAGTTCTTATTAATTTCTAATGATCTTCTAGCCCCATTGTAACTATGTAATTTGAAATTATTCAGCTAGTTTCAGATTTTTCCAGGATTAGTAACAAAAAAATAGACAAAAAATATGCAAAAAATGACATAAACTGAAATTTTCAAAAAATTATGAAAAGTGTTCAAAGTTCGAAATTTTAATGGAAACGGTCACAAAACTAGAAAAAATTGGTAACTCTTAACTTAGTCCACATTTTTACCTATGGCCCCCCCTTTTGACTTGGGCCCCCCCCCCCTATTTTCATCGGCCCCCCCCCCCCTCCTTTCCGCTTGGGCTCCCCCTTTTTTCATGGGCCTCACCCCCTTTTCTCATGGCCCCCCCCCCTTGTCACAAAGAGCCAAAATTCCTAGCTCTATCCATTCATATTATCGAAAATGTCATTATTATCAAAAAACATGGTTTTCGAGTTGCAGAGCAGCAATTTTTGAGTTTAAGTTTAGATGATAATGCTTATTAAATACTACTCTATCATCATACAACTTTTTCAGAATCGAAAAATTCATGAAATTGGCTGTATACATACATCGAAATTAGTATACCTATTTCATGAAAATATATGGTTTTTCCAAAAAAAAACTTTTTTTTCTCCAATTTTCACTCCTTTTCATTTGATTTTCTGGGAGAAAACGATTTTCCAAGGAAAATGCTCATGAATAAGGTCTCTGATTTAATTTTTTTGACGGAAATTCCAAAAAGTGATTCAAACCTTAAACTTTCAGCTATGCAATTCATCGCCACCGTCGTCGTCGCCTCCTTCCTCGTCCTCTCCCAGTCACCTCTCCTGGTGGATTCCACCAGGTTTAAGGTCAACGTGACCATCACCTGCTGGCACAGGGGCCATGGTTTTACATGGTTACTATGTCGGAGGTCGATCACTTTTTGTATGTTAGAAGTTACCATACTTTTACCTATTATTTAATTATTTATCTGATTGCAGTGGCAATAAGGACGACCAGATCGATACAGAGGGCGTCAAGGTGACGACGCAGGAGACCGTGTCGTTCTTCCTGGAAGGAGTTCAAGAAGATGACGAATTGTATAGTGTAAGTCTTATTTTCATTTTAGAAAAAAATAACAAGGGAACTTCAGCATCTTGTGAACCCAGATTTTTATTAACATTTCACAATAGGGTAAGAATAGCCTATCTAGACATTTCTGAAAATTTTAGAATCGGTTCGCAGTCAGACGAGTCCCCAGTGGGCCAGTCTCGGCCGAGCTATAACAGTTTCAGTACCAGAAATTGCCTTTTCAGTGCAAAACAGCAATTTTCAAAAAGAATTTTTAAACCTGTTTGCTTAAAATGAATATTCATACTACTCTCCAGTAATTATAGATACTTTTTAAAAATTTTCAGAGAAGAAAATTCGGATCTTTATGATTTAACGGGGGTTTAAACAATTAACGGGGGTTTCAAATATTAACGGGGGTTTAAATTTTTGACGGTGGTTTAAAAAATTCACGGGGGTTTAAATATTAAACGGGGGTTTTCAGAAGGTGTCAGAGTCATGGTTGGAAAAGTTCCCAAAATGTTCCAAAGTGCTACAGTTTTTTGTTTTTTGCTCATTTTAGTTGATCTATTCTTTTCTGAAATCAATTTTTTGTTTTTCTAATTTTAATTTCTAAAGTTTTATGGCACTGTTCTAGAATTGCGGAACGAATGAAAATCACATAAAAAATGGGTAGAAAAATTTTGACACTAGGAAACCTTTGTAGATTATAGGGTTATGCTGAAACGCCATATTTCCTTCATCTAATTCATCGAAAATTGGCTGCAAGTTACATAACTCTGCTAGTTCTAACCTCAAATCCAAAATATAAATGTACCGCTTTCCCGGATCACTTGACTCGCCAACACCATTCAACCTCTCTAAGAGCAACTATTTGATCGCCCTTCCTTTTCTAAGCCTCCTGTACCTGCTTCCAGGGTAAGATGATAGACTTGGATAAAGTTTTTTTTCGTTCCGTAATTATAGAACAGTGCCATGAAACTTTAGAAATGAAAAAAGAAAAAAAACAAGAAAATAATTTCAGAAAAGAATAAATCAGCTTAAATAAGCAAAAAACAAGAAACTGTAGCACTTTGGAACATTTTGGGGACTTCCCCAAACATCGTCCTGACACTTTTTGAAAACCCCCGTCTTTAAACCCCCGTTAATTCTCAAAACCCCTTCAAATTTTCAAAACCCCCGTTAATTTTTCAATTTTTTTTAAACCCCCGTCAAAAATTTAAACCACCGTTAATTGTTTAAACCCCCGTCAAATCATAAAGAGCCGAAAATTCTACATTTTGTCTATACTTTTTTTTGAATGATAAAAACTTGGAACGTGCAGGATCCCATAACGTATCGAAATTAGGATAATAATTAACTGAACTCAGTACACAAATTTTGACCTGACAAGGGAACTTCAACACCTCAGAGACCCAGATTTTGATAAAAATTTCAGGATATGTCAGGAATAGCCTACCTAGACAAAACTGAATTTTTCACAATCCGCCGCCAGTTTCAGCCAAGTTATATCAGTTTACCAAAAATCGCCTTATCAGTTCAAAACAGCGATTTTCGAAGACAATTTTCTCAAGTCCTAGGACGTTTCAGAGCATGAAATTTGTTGTGTTATACTCAAATTTTTATGATTTTTGATATTTCAATTTTTTTTCTCAAGAAAATAATTTTCTCCATTTTCGAAGAAATCTGGAAAATCGTGAAAATATTCAAAATTAAAAATCTTTTTGTTCTTGAGAAAACGTTTGAAATATCAAAATTCAATAAAATTTGAGTGTAACACAATACATTTCATGCTCTGTAACGTCGTAGGAAAAAATCGTCTTTGAAAATCATTGTTTTGCACTGAAAGGCGATTTTTGGCACTGAAACTAATATAACTCGGCTGAAACTGGCGGGCGGATTCTAAAAATTTAGATTTGTCTAGATAGGCTATCCCTAAAATACCCTGAAGGTTTAATCAAAATCTGGGCCTGTGAGGTGTTGAGGTCCCCTTGTGAAATGTCTCGGTCGGAATTGGGAAGCGTGTTCTAACTTTTTTAGATGTGTCTAGATGAGCTGTTCTTAACCTGACGAGTTCATGAATATCTGGGTTTCAACGTTATCTCTAGTCTCTCGAGAAACTTAGGTTTGATTTTTCAGTCGGAGTATGAGGTGGCTCTGAGGGTGGTAAGCGACTGCTGCCCTGGCCGCCTCAGGCGGTCTCCAAGAACCCCTACAAGGTGGATATGAATGTCGAGTAAGTTTGCTCAAAATGGGTCAAAGAATAGTTTTACGCTTGTTACAGACATGATATCCGCTCATGGGACGTTAATGTATCGGTGTGTAATCAAAGTGTTCCAGTTAATACTTATTTTGAATAATCACTTTTTAGGAACGTTTCTTTTGTTTTGTTTTGTTTTTGTTTTTTCTATTTGTAATGTGCAACGTTCTCATTTTATATTTTCTGATCTCATCTGGGTACTTTTTGGAACTTTTTTGTTCAAATCATGTGATACACCATTTACGGGTTCTTAATTAATTAATTTCAAAAAATCCAAAAAAATAATAAAACTTTTTTTTCTCGAAAAAGTTCGAATTTTGTTTTGTTGCCAATGATAGGTTGATCTTTGAAATCTTCCGCAATTTCAGATTTTCAGTTTTACAAAATAGAAGTGTTATCTTATTTATTTGAGAATTTCGCAGAAACGACAAGAAATTGTCATTAGGGAGATCAAAATCAGAAATTATGAATTTAAAAGAAACAGAAGATAATAAAAAAGTGAAAGTGAAGAAGTTATATAGTGCTATAAAAAATTCATGAGGACATTCACCTCACACAAAAGGGGAAGTCTCATCCTGATCCCTGATTAGAGATAATATCTGGAAAAAATGTTATGTTTTTGTAGACTAATTTGCTTTTTGCAAATAATTGTAGACAAGCTAAAACGCCCTACACTCCAAAATCGGATGTACCCTTAGAACCATTGTACCCTTGAGACCGATTCGCAGATATGAAGTCATGTGAAAAATTCTTAGCCTGTTTCAAACACTATCACAATCTTTGTTTATCACAAAAAGCAGAAATAATGTAGACTTCTTCAACCGTTTTTTTCTATTCATACTCAACAATACTAAGAAATCCCAGTTTTTTAAAATGAAGATTTTCATTATGAAATAAACAAGTTTCATTATTGTTTTTGTCTGAGACGTTTTGTGACGTGAACATCTCCGATACTTCTTATCAACTGCTCAATAACAAGAATGTCTCGTTTTTCAGAAACGATAATTTGTCAGAATGTAAAGGTTTCATGGCTGTTCATGAATGAACAAGGGTTCTAAAAATAGAGGGGTTTTGAAAATCAATGGAGTTGTGGTAACAAACAGGGGTTTCCCATTTTTTTTCAGATGTTTCAGTTCATTTATTCAATAATATTTTATCAGTTTTGGTTTGTTTGAACAAGTGAGGTTTCAGTTTTAACTATTCTTGGCAAAATTTGGAACTTTTTCTGACCATTTTCGCCAATCCTTGAAAATTCATAAATAAAATGACATAGAGACTTGTTCTACTATATTCAAATGCGAATTCCCAAGGAACAATTCATCAAAACGTATTCCAAAATACTATTTATGGATATCTAATCGACTAATGACGTAAATACCCGACGAACAATCAGTACAGACAGCAAAGGGGCAATCTTAATAACAAAAATTCCCTTGGGGACTGTAAGATACCGATAATGTTACCGGTAATGCTCCACCCATTGGGGCTCTATATACGCAATAGATGTCTTGTTTTGTATCAGTTTGAAGATGGATGAAATATCTGTAACTATTCTGGATGAAGTCGTCGATGACGAAGTGATGAAATGGGCTACGATAACTCAAATGTCATACGGAAGTGTTTCTATTGTTTTCATGATCCTATTTTTTCTGATCATCGGTGTCAAGAAACATTTCTTTCAAAGTTCCTTTTATTTTTTGGTCAGATTCGATATGTTCACGGTAGGTTGAGTGATCTCAGCACCTTGTAAACCCAGATTTTTATGGGAATTTCAGCATAAGTTGAAATTAGCTAGACACTTTTGAGAATTTTTTTTTCATTCCGCTCGCCAGTTCCGTTGTATCAGTTACAGTACCAAAAATCGCTTTTTCAGTGGAAAATAACGATTTTCAAAGACGATTTTCTCAGATTCTATTTTGCCACACTAAAGAATTTTTTTCAAATTTCGAGTGAATCCATTCGGGGAAAACTCGAAAAAGTAAAAAAAAGAAACAGTCTGAAATATGGGATCTCATTTAGTTCTAAGCATATCACATTAAATGTCATGTTTCAAAACGTTCTAAAAATTGAGGAAATCGTCTTTGAAAATTGTGGATTTGCGCTGAAAACACGATTTCCAGTACTGAAACTAATATAACTTGGCTGAAACCGGCGAACGGGATTCAACATTTTAGAAGGTGAAATTTTCGTCAAAATCTGTGTTTACAATGTGCTGAGTTTCTCTTGTAATTTTTTTCAGAATTTCCTGGTTTATTGTAATACGTGGGTTGCGATTCGTTTCGATTACAACCCATGGACTATATTTATTCCGAAGGCCATTGAAACCATTTTCCCAGGGTTGCTGACCTACTTAAAATACATGCCCTACTTTTGGTTTCATCTCCATTTCTATACATCTGCTCTTCTTACCGCTCACAGATTGTCTTCAGTTGCTTTTCCATATAACTATGAAAAGTTCTGGAAGTCCTTGTGGTCAAAATCAGCCATTATGTCACTGACAGTGATTTTCAGCCATGTGCCTAACTATTGGTGGGATGGGCATCTATACGAAGTGTTCTTTGAAAATGGTCAACTTGTTTGTATAACCTATTTGAAACACCTACAGGACTCTTATGATCTGGTTGGAGTTTGTTCTGTCATTTACTTCGGCTTTAATTTAACTCTATTTTACAAAGCAACTCGTAAAACATCAAGTTTTATAAGTGAGTTTGGTAAAGTACTTCAGCTACCTTGAATTCTGTATCTTCAGTTGAGTCAAACCAAAAAAAAGAAATAACTCGCAAAATGAACAAAATCGCATTGACGTACGCAACTGTTTACTTTCTCGAAGTCACCTGGAGTGTTTTCAATTTTGCAAACAATTATTTGCAATTTTTGCCACTCTCTCTACAAAGATGGAACAATTTGGCTTTGACTTTCGCTTCTGATGTTGTAAGTGGTTAGATTTTATTTAAAGTCAGTTCCTTTTTTTTTGCAGTTCACTTTATCTCTTCCTTACATACTTGCAATCTATGACAAGAATATCCGGAGAGCATTGTGCGGCGAGGCGAAACCGTCTACAAATACGACGGGGCTTTTTGTTACTTCTTGAGTATTTTTGGGATGTAATATTGCTCACATCAAAATTGTGACATTTTTTTTGTATATTTTCTCTGAATAAACCTGCAATTTTTTGTTTCAGAATTCTCATCCCTTTTTCTTTTTTTCCAGTCGCACACAAACGCGTAGACAAAAAGGTGTAAGCCAGGCCTGTGCGGCAACAAAATTTTTTCGGCAATTCGGTAACTCGGCAATTTGCCGAATACTTTTCGGCAACGTTCGGCAACTTTCGGCAATTTTTGGCAACAAAAGTTTTGCGTCTTTTTTTAGTAAAATCGATACGTAACTCACATGAAAATGCTTCTAATAGGCTCAGAACTACAGAAAATGTGTTTCATGAGTTCCTTAAAAAAAAAATTACAAAAATCGGCAACTCAAGACCTCATTTTTTATGCAAACTATTTCTCTTTAGCAATAGAGGGTATTCCAATGGTTGAAAATATTTGTCCCGATTGTGAGTTTTGAAAATAGTGCGCTCAACTTGTTAGGCAACTCACGACACACGTTCCCTAGAGATTTGAGACAGATTGGATAATTTTTTTGATGAGTTGTGACTCATGATATCTATTTTTCTCCTATGCTCACAAATTTAAAGCCCATTCTTAGATCCGATGCAAGTATTTTTGATGATTATTGTGACACATTTCCTCTAAAATTCACTCTGAGGGATGATGGTGTTCAAAATTTGATTTTTCGAACTCCGAAATCATTTTTTTGACTATAGAAATTGTGAATATCTCTAAATTTAAAAAAAATTTCAGTTGCCGAAATCGGCAACGAAAATTCGGCAATTTCGGCAATTTCGGCAATCGGCAATTTGTTGCCGCACAGGCCTGGTGTGAGCAGAAGGATCGAAAAGGGGGATTTGAACTTTTGGTAAAACTCTTCATATAAGAAGAAATGCCTAGGGCATTGAGCTCTTTTATCTTTCGTTTTTTTCAAATTAACTTTGCTGATAATCATATGGGTTTGATTCCAGCCTCTCCTTTTTCGAAGCTTTTTAGAGTGACAATACTTGCGAATATGTACTTTTTGCTCAATGAAAATTATATTAAATTATAGAAACATCTGCATCATGACACAAAAAAGAAATCGCATTCAAGAAATTGAAATCATTGGATTCCCTGGAATTCCTGAGAGAAAAATTCATTAGCGAAATCCAAGATTTTACGGTAATTCTTGGACACGGCAAAAGCTTTTTAACAAGAGCCTAGCTTTTGTTTTCTCTGATGTGAGTTTTTTAAACTGCATTTTTTGTGACGCACCGTTTTTTTTAAAGATAAAGTAAATGAGAAAGATCCGCGTTTCTACGGTAATCTGAAAGAATGCGGATTGTCTGTTCGGGTGTCTGTGTCGATTGAAAGCTTTTTCGGGAATGAACAAAAAGTGGCAAAAGGGATTTATAAAAAAAGACTGGTTGACAGCGGATTCTACCACATAAACCAAGACTTTTATTAAACACCAAACACCCTTTTTCGAACCAATTGCCACTTTCCGCTGAAGGCCTCACTGAATTCATAAAAGAAAAAACAATTTTTCAGAATACCGTAAAAACTCTATTAGATAGCTACCCCTAATTGAATGCCAACCTCTAATATAGTGCCATCCTGGAGTACCTCCGAACAATGGAGTGCCAGCCCCTAATATAATGCCACTGCGGATTTGATGTCACTGTGGTAAAAGTTGAAGAATAACACAAAAATCATTTTCTGGTTTTCTAGCTTTTTCGAAGCTCAAAATAGGTAATGTATTTGTCAAAAATGTTTCAGGATAATACCAGACTCCGAAAGATTTTTAAAAAAAGAAGAAGTAGAAAAATCAAGAAAACCTCGAAATTCATTTTATGAGAAAGTTTAAAATCTTTTGTGATGAGTTTCAGTAGAAATTGGCTTCCGAACAATAACGTACCAGCCTCTAATTGAGTGCCACCCCCTAATACAATGCCACCCTAGGCCACCTCCGAACAATTGAGTGTCATGGTTATCTAATACCAATATTATACGATTCGATGTTGGTTCTGTTAGATAATATCAGAAAGTATAATTTTTGACAATAAATCCGATTAAAAATGGGAGAGTTATTTAAAAAAAACCAAGAAAAAAACCAATTCGTCAGAAAAGAATCATTCACAAAAAATCTTGTAAAATCTGAAGCTCACTGATCGACTCCATTTTTCAGAACTTTGCTCATCTTCTAATTTTTCTTAAAGTTTTCATTCAGTAATGCAAAATTTCTAGCTCTGTCTTTACTTTATTCTATTAAACCAGCACAATGACAGCTGTTTCCCGTAGGGTTGAGTCCACATATCTCAAATCATGGATTAGCCTTCACCTTCAATAATCCACTTTTGCTACTATTAATGACCCCTAATTGACTATTAATGACCCCTAATTGACTATTAATGACCCCTAATTGACTATTAATGACCCCTAATTGAATTACAGTTTGATCTCGAACAAGTGCCCGCTGAAGGATACTATCATAACACTATGGACAGGTGCCATGACAACCTATCACCCTTGAGTGACTTGTTCAAGGTCAAATTAGAAAAATTTTTCTGTGCAACACTACATTTTCGGTTTTGACAGAGAATGCGTCTGATTTTTTTTAATGCATTACTCCTTCGTTTCTGTTTCTAAACGAACGTCAACCATCTCTCAACAACAACTCACACTCCTTCTTGCATTTTGAGGGCATATTCTTATTTTCTGGGTCTTTGCTTCTTCGTTTCCCTTCTCGAGGCACCTGCTCTTCCATTTCATAGAAAACGGTCTATGTCTCTTCATCTCCCTTTTCTGAGTCTCGTCTATTCCAATTCCCATCCATTTCCCAAAGAAACGGTCTCTTTTTTTCATTTGCATTTTTTCTGAGTCTCTGCTATTTCCGTTCCCTTTTCTGGGTCTCTGCTATTCCATTTGCTATCCATTTTCTAAATAACGATTCCCTGTTTGTCTATTCCCTCTCGTCTTCTCTTCCTCTGCGTTCTCCATGGGTGACACAGGTGTCATTCTCTCCACCCCTTTCCGCGCTCCATATCGCTCCTCCCACTTTTGAGGAGTATAAAAGACGCGCCCTATGCCTGTTTCTTCAGTATTTTACTGACTGGGTGTGTACCGGTCATCTCCAATGATTTTTCTCAAAATCCTAACTATTCTCTGTTGAATGTTTTGATTCCAAAGGTAAGAAACTATTCCAGGATTTAAAAAAACTATTCCAGGATTTAAAAAGCTCTTAATAAGTCTAAACTTTTTTCAGTGTTCCTTAAACCAGCCGATGTCATCAGGATTCAACCAGCCGACGTCTTCAGGATTCAACCAGCCGACGTCATCAGGATTCAACCAGCCAACGTCTTCAGGATTCAACCAGCCGACGTCATCAGGATTCAACCAGCCGACGTCATCAGGATTCAACCAGCCAACGTCATCAGGATTCAACCAGCCGACGTCATCAGGATTCAACCAGCCGATGTCATCAGGATTCAACCAGCCAACGTCTTCAGGATTCAACCAGCCATCATCTGCAGCCGTTCCAGCTCCGATGACTCCTGCAGCTACCAAGATCCGGCCGATGAAGATCAAGAAGGAGCTTTCCGATGACTTCTATAACGACACCGTCTTCGATGGAACCGAAGTCAAGGTCCAGCGTATTGTGCGCCAGCCGAAAGGAAGAGTTTCCTCCAATTTGCAGATGCAGGAACTTCCGAAGACCGAGAACGAAGCTTTTCAACGATGGGAGCAGGAACAAGGAGAGCTTACCAGTAAGGTTCAGTGAGTTTTCAAGTTCCCTGAAATTAAAATATGTTTCGAAAATTCAGAGATCCAGAAATTTTTGTTTGACCCGAGCAAAGTCAGAGTGGATGACAAGAAATGGGATCCGCAGATGGTCAAGAAGGCCACGACCCCAGGATGTTCTATTTGAACCAATCCATGGTGAGTTCTATTTCATTTTTCTAAAAGAATTTTCTCATTTTCAATATTCAGAAGAGGCAGGAGGATGGGATGATGTAAAAGCATCACATGATCGGAAGGTCAGATTGGACAAATGGTGAACCACGTTGAGACATGAGCAACACCTATAGTATGCTGCTGGATTGATATTTTTCAAGGAGGATTATGAGTTTTGGGCCAGTCCCGTGTTTAGAATAAAGAAACCCAGAATTCTTGATTTCCCCATTTTTATATTCCCAAATTCTGTTTTTCTTACCTTTTCCAACATTTCATGTGTCCCAAATCCTCTTATCCCAAGATTCGTCAACTTTATTATCAACTATTAATCTGAAAATATTGGTTTTAATAAATAATTTTACTTAATTTGCGCTTTCTTTATACATTTTCAGAGCAAAAAATACACCAGTATAAATTCTACAATTTTTAAAACAAGTAGCGTTGTTCTGGTTTGAAAAATATGTGAGATCGCACGTCCATTGGAGCGCAATTGCATCGATTTTACCAACCCGAACACGCGACGCGTTGTGAGCGCGTCCACACACACACATAATATGTATCAGTTGCCTGTCAAAAAGTGTGTAGTTATGAGGAAAGAACACATGAAGAGTGTGGCACAGTTCTTTTTGTCTGTGGATGCGAAAAATGGGACCGAGATGAGAAGACAGGGGAGAAGAGTATGGGGAATAGAGTAACGTGTCGACACAAAAATCGATACGATTCGAGTCGACCAGTCGGACTATTGAAGTCGATAAAAATCGTGTCGACTGACACCAGAAACGACACAGTATCGACACAGAGTCGACGCGACACGCGAGTCGACACGACACGAGTCGACACAAGTCGACTCTGTGCCGACTTGCGTCGATACGATTTTTCAGATATTTTTCACTTGTGTCGATACGACACTGTGTCGACACGTTACTCTAATGGGGAAGAAAGAGCGCACATGGATGCCTATTTTTTGCTGCTAAAAATTTGGCTCTTTTCAACAAGAACGGTCCCAAAACCGAACAGCCTGTCCCAAAATCGGGCCACCGGCGAATTTAAAGTTTCGAAGACCGTAACTTGCGGAATCCAGAAATTTCTAAAATTCAACTTTTTGTTTTTCTGAGTTATTTTAAGATATATCTACAATTCTAAATTCACATTAAACCATAAAGAGACGAACATGTATTAAATCAATTATCTGGACAGAGATTTCTCTCTTTTTTCAATTTTTTCATGAGTTATTGTTTTTAGGTTGGCCTTTTTTTATTTCTACTTGTTTTCAATTGTATTTGTATTTGTATTTTGAATAAAAAGACAATTCGAATTTATAAATCTTTATTGAATCAAGTTGGATGAGTAAGAATGGCACAAGAAAAGAAGCGAGTAGTTGGGTCCTTTGTAGTCGCCAAACAATCGAGTTAGATGAGTACTGGTTGTCCATCCTCCTCCGTCAAAATCAGAGCACTACAAGCATTCATCTCAGGCAAACACTCTTGGATTCGTTGTTTGAGGAGATCATGATTCACCAGGATGATGTCATTGAGTTCTCCAACCATTTCAAAAAATGGAGTCATGAACTTCATCATCAGTGGCAGAATGTCGCGCGGGGTCCGAATCTAAAAATGTTAATATTTGTTACTAGGCTTCTTTTTTTCTACTCACCAACTCCCGCTTCCAGTTCATCAGAATTTCCTCAGGCGCTTTGAGTTTTTGGCGGAAATCAAAACCGCTGGCATATAAGATGGCGTAGCTGGCTTGGATAACATCGTCTTTGGGCGCCGGGTCGCATCCCAAAGAAACATCATAAGATGAGTATTTCATTTTCGAGAAGTTAAAATCTCTGGGATCGTCTCTGAGATTTCCATCTGCGTCAGCATAAACGTGGCTCAATCCAAAATCCAGGATCTTTACAGACACTTGATTTCCCGGAGTCTTGGGTTGCGTTAGGGCGAAATTGGATAACTTCACATCCCTATGAACCAATCGCAATTCGTGTAATGCCTGGAGGCATTTCATCATTTGATAAGCAATTCTAATCAAAGTAGGACGTTTGTATGACTTCCATGGTGTCGTTTCACGAATCAATTCAAGGTCGTAAGTAAGGAGTTCCATTCCTGAAAATATTTAAATTATTGTATTTTCAATTACAGGAAGTAGTTTTTTCCAGAGACCGTATTCATGAACATTTATCTATGGAAATAATTTAATCTCAACCAATCAGCCGAATTATTCAAAAAAAAAAGTAAATAGACGCATGAATCTACTGAAAATCTTTCACATTTTTCAAATGATTTTCCAGTTTCTGATATAGAAAAATGACTTTGAACAAGATTTTCTCATTTCTTTTAAACTAAAAAATTCTTATTTTTAGACACAGTTCTTTAAAATCTAGTTCAATTCATTCATGTAATTTGTATCAAAAATCAAAAGTTTTAGTGAGACATCAACGAAATTTTAGTTCAAAGTTAGATAATAACGTTCTTTGATACTATTCTATCGATGCATAATTTTTTGGAATACTAGCTTTTCAAAAATTGAGTGTCAATATCAAAATAAAATAGCACAACTACTTCATGACAAGCGGCGTATTTTCCAAAAAAATAACATTTCTTCAATTTTCACGTTTTTCAGTTAAGTTTCTTGAAGTTAATGATTTACATAGGTATTATGAAAAATCAGCCTACTTGTTTTTATTTTATGTATGAAAAAAACTCACCGATTATGTGATAGGGACCATATTTGCCAGTGAAATGGAATCTCGGGGAAATGTTACTGTAGTATAACAGTTGTAGAGCCGATGCTTCGATGAGCAGGTCTTCTTCCTGCATTGACACCTTCATGGCAATGGTATCCAAGCCGCTAATCGCTTGATAGACAGCGCCATAAGATCCATGGCCAATCAATCGAGAGAGCTGGTATCCTCTAATGTGGCTTCCAGTAAGATTCAGTAGATTATCGTAGCCAGACATACTGAAAAAATTTCAGTTTTTCTTTCTGCAGTTAAAATTTGTAGCTTTTGCTGATTTTTTCTGACTCTTTCTGTTTTTCTCTCAAAATTTAGTGACCTGATTATTTTTTGGCGTGACCTAAATTCCAAAATATGCTCAACACTTTTTTATAACTATTTATATGACGTTTTCTGACTTTTTTTCTGATTTTTTTGGATTTTTTGGATGACCTAATTAATTTTTGGCGTGATCTACATTCCAAAATATACTTAACATTTTTGCCCAACTATCACTTATACACACCAACTACTTGTCATTGAAAAAAATATCAAATTTACCTTCGAAACAGACGCTGGGAGGGAGCGAGAGAGCGAAAAAAGTCACCAATCAGGAGGGTGAAAAAGAGCAAGAATGATTTTTCTGAAGGATTTCCCCCTTCATCGACCATGAAACGTGGAAGGTCACGCTAAATTGTTTTGAGGGCACCAGGATTTTATTATTTTTGAAGGGTGAGTGACTGGGGGTGGATGGTTATGATGGGTGGGGATGAAGATTGGAACATGAAATTAGGTCAGCTGCGTAACTAGGTCAAATGATACCTCTATCTAGGTCAAAATTGGAATTTAGTCGGTTTTGATGGTAGAGGTACCATATTGGATGGTTGGAAAGAGCAATTAGTGTAAAATTGAAATCAGGTCATCAAGTGACATTAACTAGGTCAGATTTGTATTTTTGTTGATTTTATAGGTAGAAGCCCCAAACTAGGTGTATGGGATTCTTGAGAAACGGGAATTAATAAATAGGTCAAATTTTTTTAAAAGTAGGTCACAGAAGTTTTTTCTCTGTAGAGATGAAAGTAACATATTTTGTGACCGGAATCCTTAAAGGATGGACATTTTATATTGGCTGAAGTTTTTTAGAAAAGCAGGTCACAGATGGTTTCTAGTTCTACGTTAAGATGGATATATAACATGGGGGTAGACCAGTTTCTTGCAGTATGAGAATTTTTGATTTTATCAATTTTTAAAAATGTATTTCTCTGATCCTTGAAGAAAAACCTAGATTGTGGTGAAGTATATAAATGATTTAACAGTGTTCCACCTCGAGAAAGCCGGAATGAAAAAAAAATTCGTAGCCAAATAAAAAAATGTTCCAATTGACGTTGAGTTAATCAAATGTAATAACAGCCCATTTGGAACAGTTTGATTTTTTTTTCTTATGTATGGATTGCTCAAAAATATTTGACTACACTGCGGGACATAATTATGGGTCCAATCGTTTCGTTATTTTTCCATAATCTTGAGAGACCTGATGAACGTTCCTGGTACTAGTGTTTTTGAGATTCATTTTTTGTGTTACTGTATATATCCTTTCCTGTCTGTCATTTTTGATTCAAGGAAAAATTTAAAAAGTTAAAAAATGAGTTCTACGCAAAAAACTAATCCAAATTTACGAAACTTTTTTTAAAAAGTATCAGAAAATTTGTTGGGAAAAAAGGTTTTTTGGTATTTTTTGACCAATTGTCCTATTGTTCAAATTTTCGAGTCTAAATTTCGGAGAAAGCTTCCATCACATTCTAAATTGATATAAAACTATTTCAAACGTTGGTTTAAACCAATTCCTAACAATTTTAATGTAGGTTCCTCCATTTACGTCATACCAAAAACAGCGTTTCTCCTTGTAAGTCGGCACTTATGTCCGTGATTTTGACAAACTTTATCTC